GTGGTAATCAGGGATTTATCACCATAGGAGTCGTCGGTCATAGACTTCTCGGTACCTTTCCCATTGCCTTATGAAGTTCTTCGTCAAACTGGCTGAGCTGTACCACCCCCTGCATGACTTCCTCCCTCACCAGAAAGGGGGGTGTAAAAAGGAGTGTGGCTCCGACTTCCCAACGTATGGAGAACACACTAGGTGAGTGCCTGGTCCAGGAAAACCAGGACCTTCAGGAAGTAGCTCAACTCCCAGCCACCACGGCCCCCTTTCCTCCTTCAAAGCCATCTACCATCACCACCAGGTCCACATGAGGTTATTTCTTCCTGATGGCACAATCACCCCGACACCTCTCTACTTTGATGTCTGTATTCTCGTCACTACTGATGGGCACAGAGGGGTGTACAAGGTTCCCATTCTCTCTGATGATTTTGTCGATGAGGAGTCGGACTTTTTTGATTTGTAAGACTTTCAGGCTAGCTAAAGTGTCTTCAGGGAGTTCATGAAAATTCAACATATTCTCTGAAACAGAGTCATCATTCTGGCTGTCTTCTCTCTCTCTCTCTCTCTCTCTCTCTCTCTCTCTCTCTCTCTCTCTCTCTCTCGCTACATAAGTTCTTCAGCTTACTCAAGTTGTCTGCCCAAATCTGCATTGTCTCGGTCCACCTTCACCAGCTGGTCTACTTGTTCCGGGTCCTTGAAGTGCTTCTCCTGCGTTAAGGACCCTTGATTCTTACCATCTCTCTTCTCCACCTAGTCTCACCTCCCAGAACCCTTTTTTTGCTACAAAAGGAAGGACCCTTAAAATGAAACCAAATTACCATACGAGCCAGTAATTACACTTCTGGTTATAGAATCCAGAGAATTGACAGCAGGGTCTCAAACAGCTTCTTGAATGCTAATATTTCTACCAGCATTATTCACAATAGTTGAGAGGCGGAGGCATCCAAGTGTCCATTGATGTGTGAATAGGTAAACAAAATGTGATAAACCATACGATGGAATATTAACTTTAATAGGAAAGAAATTCTGGCAGGCACTACAACAGGGATGCGTCTTGAAGACATTTAGACCCAGTGAAGTAACACAAAGTCAGTCACAAAGCCAAATACTGTATGATCCCACTTATGGGAGATACCCAGGGCAGTCAAGACAAGAGACAGAAAGTAGAACAGTCATATCCAGGGGTGGAGGATGGGGAACCAGGAGTTGTAATCTTCTAGGGGCAGAGTTTCTGCTTGGGAAGATGAAAAACTCCAGAGTCAGATAGTGGTGATAGTTTCACAACAATGTGAACGCTTTTAATACCGAAGTTTTACAAAAGGAATGTGTGCAGGGAGGGGAGTGTGACTGATCTGTACTGAATGTCCAAGAATGAAAGCAGACTCCAGCCACTGTCCACCACTGTCCACCTCTGTCCACCACTGTCCCAGTGGTGCTCCAGACAGTAAGTGTAGTGGACTTGCAGTTGAGCCCTGTAGTGCACCTGCTCCCAGGCAGAGCTGGACACAGAGTTTTCTGGTTGCATTTTGGCTGGCACATCCCTGTCCTCTGCTCTGTGCTTGGAGCCCTCCATACTGCCCCTTTCACTGGACCCTCCATGAATTGTGCATCATCCACCTATCCATGAGCCGCTGGCTTCAAGGTTCTTTGAGCCTATGACCATATGAAGACCTCTGCCTATGGCTAGTCTGTCATAGCCTAGGGCAGAGCAGGAGTCCCTGGGTTCAGCTAGCTTTTGTAAGGAGGATAATCGACATGTTCTATGTGCTGGAATTCCCACCGGAAGCCCAGAAAGCTCTATATTTACTCAGCACTCAAGTTGTGTTCCCAGATCTCAGCCCCACCCCCTGGGACCAAGTTTGAGACACAGGACAGTCCAGAGCTGTCCAAGGCCAAAGTATTTCTCAATGCCCAAAGGTCACGAGAAGGGTGACAGCTCTAAGACCATATTCACCTATTTATTTAAAGGTTTGTCTTTCCCCAAGTTGTCTTTTAAAGGTCACTGTGAGTATAAAGATACAGAGGCTCTCAGAGAGGAGGCCTAGAAGCCCATTAGGGAAGGAAGGCCTGGGACCTGGGCAAAAGTCTGACCTGTTCCCGCGGCTGGCCCAGTAAGCAGGGCAGGTGAGAACAGGAAGTGTCTGCCCCACATCTCTGGGAAAATAAACAGGCCTGTCTGCTGATGTTTGATGGGCAAATACTGTTCTCGAAAGGGCAAAATAGACCCTCCATTTGAGGCACCCCGAAAGGTGATCAGAAAAAGCAGAGCCTGACCTCCCCTGACCTCCTCTGTGTGGTGACAGATTCACAGGTCAGAATGACAAGGCTCCGGGGCCCACTGGTCCCCGCCGAGAAGCAGCTTCAGACTAGTGGAGTGTGGAGTGGCAACCTGGGGAGGTCAAAGCACTAGAGGCAGGCATGATCTGCAGCCATGTGGAGCCCACCATGCAGGCATCACAAGCCAGTGCCCAGGCCAGCCAAGGCACCCACCTCACCCTGCCACAGCCAGGCCTGGGCCTGGTACCCATGCCTGCTGTAGAAGCCAGCTCCACACAGTGCAGCAGCCACATCCATGACCTCCCCCTCCCCCTCCCCCTCTGACCTGCCCTGAGGAAATGGATGCGGGCAGAGTTGAGTGGAAGTCGGGACTCCAGAGTTGATCCACAGTATTAGTGCGTTTCCAAACCCTAACTAGCATAAGTTTGAACCGATGGGAGTGACCCAAGTGCTATATCATCCCCTAGACTAGGATTTTCTGAGGGTGAAATTTCCTTATTCTCACTTGCATTGCAAAAGTTATGCTCCTGCTTTTCAATAAATTTTATCATTATGCTCACATGTCTTGGTCTGCCTGGTCTGTGGATTTTGTCCTGGTCTGTGGATTTTGTCCTTCAAATTTACAAGACAAGAAACCTGCACTTCTTGGCTGCTGAGACCCACCAGAATGGAGTCTCATCTTGTGAATCATTGTGTGTTTTTTCTAAAGTTAACAGAAAAGGACTCTCCCCAGAGGGGAAGCAGGTGTGGGGAAAGAGAGTTGGTACTAAGTTCTCGACACTGCTCTTACACTCCATCCTCTCTTGACTCTCATCCGTAAGACAAGGAGACTTGTACGAGGGCTTCAGGAAATACTTGAGGTGGTGTGTTTTCTCTACCAACTTGCTTAATTTCTTTTGAAATTTCCGAGAAGTGTCCTGGATTATAGTGCTCTGTAAAGTGACCAGATTACTAATGATCATCACAGATTCCACATGGAGTCATGTTTATAAAAGATAAGGTATAAACATTCTTAGAACAATTGATCAATTCACTACAATTAAATGCAACCATTTAAAAAAAAATCATGCAAACATAGTCTTTAGTGAAGGAAGTAAGAAAATACAGTAGGTTCTAAATGATTCTATGAAGGAGGCTTTTAGAAGCCTGATAGTGTCCCGGTTCTTGATCCATTTGTTAGTTTCCTGGGTGTGTTCAATTTGTGATCACTCATCAAGTCATGAACAGGTGAGTGCCCATTTCATATTTGTGTTATACGCCAATTAAAAAAATTCACATTTTGAATTTAACAAATTAGATGCTATAGATTTTTAAAAAAAAGCAACCACAAAAAGCTCCAGATGTGCCATTTTTCATAGGTAGCCACTCTTGATATTTTGGCAGAGATTCTTCTAGAATTTTTTCTATATGGATAAATACTTTATAGAAATTATAGTGCAGAAACTTTCCATGCGGACAGATTATCATCACTGTATTAACTGCAGAGGACTGAAGTCTATTCTACCAATGCCCTATTTCACTTTTACAAACACCAATAATCAAGACTTGGTTAAACATCTTTGCTTGGTAGATGATGTATTTTTCACAATTCCTGAAGTTAAAACTAGGGACTCTGGGAGGAGATGCATCTCTAAGGCACTGGGTTTTCCTTTGGAAAGATTCCCCGTTTGCAGAGGGTGGGAATTCCCACCCTCCAAAGATGAAAGGATATTATCTTCCTCTTTAATCTTTGCCATGGGAGCCTAGGAGCTTTGGAAGCAGCAAAAGAGGTTTAAGTTCCCACTGAGGAAAGGGGCAGATGTGGGTCTTCCAGCTCTGATGACATTTCCTCTGCTGTAAAATGGGGTAAATGAAAATATTTCCTAAGGTTGAACAGCTTACCACTACCCCCAGACAACCCTGGCTGTTCCCCTTTCTTCTCCAGCTCCTTCCCAGGCTTGTCCTGACCCTGACCCCAGCAGCTTATGGGCACCACACCACATGGCTCCCCTCCATTCCCCTCCATAAAACTCTTCCTGGATGTGGAACTTGGAGCAGAATCTAAGCCTAGTCCCTGACCTAAGCCTGTTTTTTGTTTTGTTTTGTTTTGTTTTTAAGTATGTGATTTATTTTTTATTGGTACAGACTAATTACACAGCATCAGGGCTTTCTTTGAGGCATATCACACATACATACAATATAAACCCATTGGTTTTCCTCACCCTACCTCCCCACTCCCCTCTCCCCTTCCCCTACACTATATTCTCCCTTGATCTATCTTAATGGTGTCTGTTTTTTCTTCCTCTAACTTCCATATATGAGAAAAAAACTTGAAATACCTGAGTCTGACTTATTTCACTTAACATGATGATCTCTAGTTCTACCTATTTTCCTGCAAATGACATAGTTTCTTTCATCTTTAGGATGGAATAAAATGCCACTGTGTATAAATGACACATTTTCTTTATCCATTCATCCATGGATGAGCACTTAAGCTGACTCCATAACTTGGCTATTGTGAATCATACCATGAAAAATGTGGGAATGCAGATACCTCTGAAGTACCCTGTCTAGAATTCTTTTGGATAAATACTGAGGAGTGGTACAGCTGAGTCATATGGTGGTTCCATTCCTAGTCTTTTGAGGAACCTCCATATTGATTTCCATACTAGTTGTTTTAATTTACATTCCCGTGAAGAGTATGAGTTCCTTCCCTGCCGCAGTCTGGCTGGGCACGATTCAGGAGCCACTTGTCAAAAGAAACGAACTTTATTTTTAGAACCACACATGCCAAACAAAACAGCTCCTCAGGAAAAACCCTCAGAGCCCAACTGCCACCACCAGCTTTCCACAAGCCTCTCTCTCTCACAATCCTCCTGCTCTTGAGGCCGATTGTCTGGGTCGCGTGGGCAGAGCCAAAAAAGTCCCCCAATGAGCAGCTCCGTGGTCTGAAAGGGCAGGGAAACAGCCCAATGAGCATCACCGAAGAGGAGCCAATCAGCTAGATGTTGCTGGGGCCGCTGTGAGCCAATCATCAGCTGGCAGTCTGAAAGTTTGCTGGGGCCCCTTCGGCTGTGGCTCTCAACATCTCCCCCTCTCTGTTTAAACAATAAGCATGTGGCTTAGGGACCGTGCCTGCCTTAGGTTGTCCAATAGTACATATGGTCCTTACCCGTTATCGGATGAGCTGACCTCAAGGCGTCAGCCTCCTGCCTTAGGTTGGTACCATTGCAATTGGATCTTACCCGTCACTGACTACCGATCCAGTATACAGCCACACCTGTGGATAGGTCTTTGTATCAGTGGGGGGTGAGGTTCTTTGCCTCACCTCTGTTCGCCCCCAAATTTTAGCTGAACGACCATGACAAGCAGAAGGGAGGAAGATACACCAAGCCAATTGACGGCTCCTTTTGGAAAAATTGTACCACCGATGATATCATCAGCATAAATACCCCAACACTACCACAAGTCGCTGCACCAACAGATAGTTCACAATGCATACAAGTGAGTTCACAATGCAAGAAAACAATTTTCTTTTCTTTTTTTTTAGAAAACAATTTTCTTAACAATGTACCTTATCTTCAACAGAATTATTAAATATAATGAAAAAGAAAGGTGAAAGTAAACAAACAGATCTGTTAACCTCCTTTTTTGTTCATATATTAAAACAATCCTCAACAGCTGTTTACCCAATTTAAATTAAACCATTTAAATCACGTGAAAAAAAAATTTGGATCCATTTTTTCATGAGTGCTCATCATATATGATATATGGACATATGTACATTCAAACATATAACACAAAAACCAAGGTCGCGGGTTCGTTCCCCGTATGGGCCACCAAATGCCGCAGTCTGGCTAGGCACGATTCAGGAGCCACTTGTCAAAAGAAACGAACTTTATTTTTAGAACCACACATGCCAAACAAAACAGCTCCTCAGGAAAAACCCTCAGAGCCCAACTGCCACCACCGGCTTCCCACAAGCCTCTCTCTCTCACAATCCTCCTGCTCTTGAGGCCAATTGGCTGGGTCGCGTGGGCAGAGCCAAAAAAGTCCCCCAATGAGCAGCTCCGTGGTCTGAAAGGGCTGGGAAACAGCCTAATGAGCATCACCGAAGAGGAGCCAATCAGCTAGATGTTGCTGGGGCCGCTGTGAGCCAATCATCAGCTGGCAGTCTGAAAGGGCGGGGAAACAGCTCAATGAGCATCACCGCAGAGGAGCCAATCAGCTAGAAGTTGCTGGGGCCGCTGTGAGCCAATCATCACCTGGCAGTCTGAAAGTTTGCTGGGGCCCCTTCGGCTGTGGCTCTCAACACTTCCCTGCCTATGTTCTCCCCAGCAATATTTATTTATTCATTCATTCATTCATTCATTCATTTATTTATACCAGGGATTGAACCTAGGGGCACTTCACCACTGAACCACATCCCTGGCCCTTTTTACATTTTAGTTTGAGATAGGGCCTTGCTGAGTTGAAAAGGGTCTCACTAAGTTGCTGAGGCTGGTCTCCAATTTATGATCTTCCTGCCTCAGACTCTTGAGTCATTGGGATTATAGACGAGTGCCACCATGCCCAGCTTGTTAATTGTATTCTTGCTCTCTGTTCTGACCAGGATGAGACAGAAGCCCACTGTTGTTTTGATTTATATTTCCCTGATGCCTGAAATTGTTGAACATTTTTTTCATATAATTATTTGCCACTTTGTCTTTTCATTTCATTTGCTCATTTATGGAATGGGTTGGGGTTTTGGGTTGTTTTGTGTGTGTTCTTTCTTTAATATTTATTTTTTTAGTTGTAGATGGACACAATACCTTTATTTTATTTATTTGTTTATATGTGGTGCTGAGGGTTGAACTCAGGGCCTTGCATGTACTAGGCCAGCTCTCCACCACTGAGCCACAATCCCAGCCCTGTGTGTTCTTTATATGTTCTGGGTTTTAATCTTCTGTTGGAAGAGGATCAGGCAATGATTTTCTCCACTCCGTAGGTTCTCTCTTCACCCTGTTAATTATTTCCTTTGCTGTGCAGAAATGGATGCTGTCCCATTTATCAATTCTTGCTATTATTTCCTGAGCCATAGGGTCCTATTCAGGAAGCAGTTGCCTGTGCTTGTATCTTAAATTGTTTCCCCTAGTTTTTCTTCTAGTGGTTTCAAAGTTTGGGGTCTTATACTGAGGTCTTTGATCCCTTTTGGATTGAGTTTTATGCAGGTGAGAGACAGGGATCTCATTTCTTTCTTCTACATATGGATGCCTAGTTTTCCCAGCATCATTTGCAAAAGAGGCTGCTTTTCTCTAACGTGTGTTTTTAGCACTTCGTTCAGAATCAGATGACTGTAGCTGTGTGGGTTTGTTTCTCTGTCTTCTATCCCATGGTCGGTGTGTCTGTTTTGATGCCATCAGCCTGCTGGTTTTGTTGCTAGGCCTCTGTAGTACGCTGTGAAATTGGGTTTTGTGATGCCTCCAGTACCAGTTTTGAGTCTGAATCGGGCTCCTAAGTTTCTGGAAGTGCTGGTCCCTCCATGCTGTGTCCTGGGCTGCTCCTCCTCCCTCTCCTTCCTGTCCTGCTCAACTTCAGCTCAAAACCACATCCTCGGAGAGACCTTCCCTTCCCGCCTGCTATTTTCTCTCTCTGCATCCTGCTCCTTGCGTCATGGTTCTTACTGTCACTTGTCAGGAGAGATTTCCGTGCTTGCTCTCATGTTTTCCGTCTCCCCTCCAGCTGGTTAGCCCAAAGAGAGCTGAGACAGGACTTTGTTGTTCACTGCTGTGTCCTCCCACACCTGGCTCTACCTGCCTCCTGAGTAGATGCTCACACGGGTTTGTTGAGTGAGCAAATAGCCTTTTCATTTCCCCTCTGCTTTGGCCATGTGAAAACCCAAGGCAGAGTGTCGAGGTGCAGGGGATACAGATTCTCTATAACCTGTCCTCTGACTCTAGGCTTCTCCCAGGCCATTTCTGCTCTCTCCTCTCCCCCATCCCTGAGCCCCGTGGGCTGTTTCACCTTCTGAGCCCTGGAGTGAAATCCATGTTGCCAGGGATGTCCTTTCCCACCTTGGGGACACACGCTAGTCTCTATCATCTAGTTTCTCCAAGAGACACACTGTCTATTCATTCTGTACTCATTTAGTAAGTGCCCAAGACATGCCAGGCACCATATCAGTCACACAGGAAACACAAGTGAACAAGAAGCAGCATTTCCTGACTGCAAGTAATTCATGGTCTAGGGAGGGAGGCGTATATAGTAAGTGCAAAGACCTGCCACATCAGGACAAGATAGCCACCAGGGAAGGATGTGGAATAGCAAGTGCAAAGGCCTGCCACATCAAGGACAAGACAGCCACCAGGGAAGGATGTGAAACCTAGTTGGAGAGAGAGGAGGATCAGGGAAAACTTCCTGGAGGCGATGTCCTCCATCTGAGTTAGCCAGATAAAGGGGAGAAAGGCATTGCAAGCAGAGGGGGCCGTGTCAGCCCAGACACAGAACTAGAATGCAGCCTTTTGTGGACAAGGGGATAGTCAGCAATTCAGTGTTGCTAGAAAAAGTGCAAGTCAGAAGGTGCAGAAAAACAAGTCAGAGAGAGGGGCTGGGCCTGGTCAGGGAGGGTACTGAAGAGACGCTCAGAAGCTTGGACGCTGCAGAAGCAAGAGGTCACTGGAAGTTTTAAGCAGGGAGGTGCTGGACATCAGGAAGACCCAGGTCCACGGTGGCAGAGGGGTGGGGAGAGACAGGTTGAGGCACTTGGAGAGGTAAAACTGGAAGGACCCGGTTACTGAGTAAGCATGGGGCAGGTTGGAAAGAGAGAGAGGATGGCCTGGAGACTCCTGGCAAGCAGGCTGGGTGAGGCTGGGGGAGTGGGGTGATGTTAGGGTTGGGGTGTGTTGAATGTGCAGTGCTTATCGGAGCCCAGAAGAAGCTAGCCTTGAGGTCAGGGCGGGAGCTCTAGGTCAGGATCACTGACCTAGCAGTGGTAGAGGAAACCATGGAGAGTAAGTCTGCCCCAGGGGATATATGGACTGCAATGAGCTGGGCCAGGGATGGGGTCCTTAGATAGGGTGAGAGACAGAGAGAGTTACCCTTCTAGTTACCTGTTTGTGTTATTCCTGATATCTTCAGACCTCCCTCGGCTCAGGTGGCCAATCTCTAATAGTCAACAATGGCTCTCATCTGCGGAGCACTCACTGTGTGCTGAGCATAGTCTAAGCTCCTTGCCTGTGTGGAATCCTTTCATCTTCACGAGAGCCCCAGGAGGAAGTGCTCCCTGTCTTTGAGATGGTGGCTTGATACACAGGTGAATAACTAACCCAGGCCATAAACAAGTGCAGGGAGCCATGGGGGATGGGCAGCTACGTCTCCTTCCTGAGTCAGTGGCAAAGCACCTCCTTAAACTATCCCATCTTTGTCTTAAGATCAAAAGGCAGCCACAGTACTGTTCATTAACTTTGCTAGGATCTGACAAATTATTAAACAGAGAAATAACTTTTTAACCAAGTCTAGATTTCTAGCTTTATCATGAATTAATTTTGGTTTCCCTCTTAAGGGCTCAAAACTGAATAAATATTGCTGAGGACGCCAGGGTATTATCACTGCACTGTGCACATCATGCCTGTAAGTGTACTTTATTTTAGGATGTGGGTGCTAGTGAGAAGAGGAGCAAATTGTGGGAATATCGAGGAGGCTCTGACATGTGCACAGATGCTCTAAGAAAACTGCAAAGCAGTTCTCCAAGAGCCTTCCCCACACTGACTCCAAGATTTCTGGGTTTGAATAGTATATTACAACACACCTCATATAAAAGAATATCTTTGTATAACTTTACTATATAGCTTCATATGTAGCTTTGGGGGATGGATCCAAGACTTGCTTTCTTGGCTATGCATTTCTGTACATTTTGGGTGATGTTACATTTTCTGAAGTTATATCCAAAATCAGATAATTATTTCATGTTACAAAGCATTCAGGCAATGCCAATGTTTCATTGTCGTGTTAATAGATGTATGAAATATTCAAGAATTATTGTATAAATGAATGTATAGCCAGGTATCCTGTTTTAAAATAGAAATTACAACTTCATTTACAAACACAGGTGGCTGTGCACAGGCCATAGTGACCCAGAAGACCTCCTACTAGTCCCACCTTGTACAGGTTCCACCACTTCCTAATTGTGCAAAGCTAGGCAGGAAGCCTTTGCCACGTGGGCTTTTGTGGGACATGTTAGATCTAAATTACAGCCATGCCATTGTCTCCTAATTCTATATCTGGCCCCAACCTGCCCCTAGAAATCTAGATCAGATGTCAAAATGTGGTCCCCAACCAGCAGCATCAGCATCACCTGGGGTCTTGTCAAAGATGCAAATTCTCAGGGCCCACTCCAACCCCATTGCATCTCTGTGGGGCCCAGCACAAAGCCAAGTCTCTATCTTCACAGCTCCACCTGGAAACCTGATAGGTGCTTTCTCTCTGTCCTGCCCTCACCATCCACAACGCTTTGCCCCCATCCCCACCTTAGAAGACGTCACCCCACATATCAAGGTGGGGCTTATGGAGATTGTGCATAAAGATGATGGCAGCTCACTTGTATTCTGGGAAGTGCCCTCTCCAAAGTGACCCTGAAGGTTCAGCCCAGCATTCATCTCTTCCACCAAGGTTGTGGCTCCGGAGGAGCAGCCCAGCCCTGAGGTGTAAAGGTTCAGCCCTTGCAGCAGGGGTGGGGCGCCCATGTGGAATCAGCTTGAAGCTAGCCTCCAGCAGGGACCACATCCTCACTCCAGCTTTGGTTCCAATGTGGTTTGACCCCTCTGCAATTCAGGTTGAGATGTAGCCCCCATCACTAGGTCCTAAGAGGGTAGAAACAATCCAACTATGTTGTTCAGAGGCAGGGTGGGGAGATACCAGGCTGCACATAAACACACACACACACACAGACACACACACACACACTTTGTCTCAGACCAGCTGATGCCCTGTGCCACCATGGGACTCTGCAAGCAAAAAGGTCATCAACAGAGTCAGCTCTCAACATTGGACCAGCACTAGGATCCCAAATAAATCTTGTTTCTTTTTAATTTACCCAGTCTGTGGGGTTTTGTTATTAGCAACAGAAAATGGCCCAAGACATACAGCAATCAGGCTCTGGCTGTGCATGCAGTCAGTCCATGCTGCTACTTGGCAAGAAAGGCAAGGTTACTAGTGCAAGTCCTACTGTGTGAACCTACAGCAGAATCAGAGTCCCCACCATGGAGGGGTTTGAATCTCAATCCAAATGGCAGGGTGACAGTAGGTCCCCTGCTTCTGGCTTTGAAATGAAATCAAAGCTTGCTCAGGCCTTGGCTTTGATCTAGTAATAGTTTCATAGGTATGTCTGCAGCAGCTTTTTTGTATTTAACTCTTCTCCTTTAATGACAGGAACACAGAGTCTTTGAATTTCTTGGCATCTCTGAGATGAGTCATGCATTTTATAGAAATTACAAGATGGTTGAGTTGCATGAGGCCAGATAGCAAGCTCAGAAATACCACGAATCCAGCACCTGGAGGCTGCCAGAACCTCCTGGCCTGCTGCCTTTCTCTCCTCCTTCACTGTACCAGGTATAAACATTAGTAGCAGAGAGCAGTGATGACCCCTTGAGAGGAAATGTGATTGAAGCCAAAAGCTGGATCTTACCTCTAAAGGTAAGGCAGACGTGGGCTGCATCTCTATTCTGTCCAGGTGGGAAAGAGAAATACAGGTAATTGATTTTTTTTTCTTTGCACTTTCTCCTGTCCCTCTTGCTTCCAAAAGGCCTACAGCAACTTTTCTTCAGCAAATATGTAGTGGGTTCTGGGCAAAACTGTGTTACCATAAAAATAGAAAAGTTGAACCACAGCATTAGCTTAGACTGCCGACAGGATTTTTGCTTCTAAGTTAGAAGATGTGCAGTCTCATAGTTTCCCATGAAGGGATGAAGACATTTACCTTCACAGATATCTCCCCCTTTTTTGGACATAATGGGTGTTAGCAACAGGATCTTCTCTCTCCACCCCCCTCTCTCTTTGTGGTGCTGAGGATTGAACCCAGAGCTTTGTGCATATGAGGCAAGCACTCTACCGATAGAGTTGTATCCCCAGCCCTCTACCATCTCTTGAATACCTATTTGAGTCAGGTACCACTGAGTATTTTATACGATCTCATTTGATCTTCATAACAGCAGATATTAATTAAGCAACTATAAGCACCAGATTCTGTGTTGGGGGTCAAGAGATACAAAAATAAACAGGACACAGTCTCTGCTCCCCAGAGGTTTTTTTTTTAATATTTTATATTTTAGTTGTAGATAGACACAATATCTTTATTTTATTTTTTTATGTGGTGCTGTGGATCGAACCCAGGGACTCGCTCGTGCTAGTCAAGCGCTCTACTGCTGCCACAACCCCAGCCCCTCCACAGAGTTTTACAGTCTAATCTTCAGGATAAAGTTGTGATCAAGTAACTGATAAGCTCGAGTTCTGGACCCCCAAAAGACCGCCAGAGAACAAGATCCATGTAAGCAGCAAAGAGGCGTTTATTGCGAGCTAGCTCGGTCCTCTGCACACACAGCAACTGGTGAGGCTGAGAGGCCCTAAGCCCAGGTTTGCACCTCTTTATACACTCTTTGGGGAAGACAGGGACTTCACATACATCATAGCATCTCTTAGCAAATCATCACACACCTCGGGAAAATCATAAAACAACTCTAAAACATGATTAGCATATCATGTGGCAGGAAAGAATCTGGAAAGGATTATTGGTTCGTTCAAGGGGTTGACGCACTTAAAAATGATTGGTTTAAACCATGAGAGGTGTATGTGCTGAACTACATGGTTTCCCAACATGTTATCAACCACCATAACTACTGGGGGGTCATCTGGCATCCCAGGTATTTTCCCTGTCTCATGCTGATTGGTAGTTGCTAGGGGGTTGCTATGGGTCCTCACCTAGACTGACTTGAGTCAGGGACACCTGGCTCCGCAGATCTCTCTTGTTATTTGTAGACAAACAACTCAGCAGGGTGGGCATGTGTTTAGGAGTGCTCTGTGGGTTTTTCCAAGGACAAGTGTCACACCCCCTTCCTTGGACAGGCTTTGCTCTGAGGTAGAGGCTGGTTTCTCAAAAATGGAGTCACATCAGTTTCTCATAACTATAATGTGGGCAGAAGGGTTCACATAGGGGGGAGCCCAGAAGGCTACTAGAGCACATAGGAGGAAGCTCTAAGTTAGTTTTGGGGTTTCAAAGAAGTCTTATGAGAAATGATATCTAAGCACAGTTACATGGAAATTATTGTTTTAAGAATTATCTGTGAACCTCCTGGAGCTCATGAAAGACAGAATAATGGCCCAAGGGACTTTGCCAATGTGATTAAGTTAAAAATCTTGAGACAGGAGATTTTCTGTGTTGTCTGGGAGGGACTAATGTCATCTATTGTGTAAGGGGATCGGGAAGGTCAGGGTCAGTGTGGGAGAGGAGATGGCAAAAGCCCTAGGCTGGGGAGATGAGAGGAGGGGCATCAGCCAAGTAGTGTGGGTGGCCTCTAAAAACTGGAAAGGAAGGAAAATTCTGCTGGAGAGCCCCTCACGAGGCTCGTCCCAGGTGACAAGCCGTGGACTTCTTCCAGAACGGTGAGAGTGAGTCTGGTGGTGAGCTGCGAGGTTGGCAATGGGAAGCTAACAGAGTTCAAACAATGACTTGCCCAACGCCACAGTGATCGAGCCTGGGTTAGAACCAGGAGTGAACTGGCCCGAAGCCTGAGCGGCCTTTCCCCAAAGCTCACATTCCCTCTGAAGAGACTCCTTGGGCATCTGCTCAGGGCTTTATAAAAGCTTGTCTATCCCTCTCACTTCCGTGTTGCCTGAGGCACAAAGATATGCTTTGGGGGATGGTAAGTAGCATTAGATGCTGGAATGCTGATATAGGACAAACATCCAAGGACAGAGGGATCGATTGCTTTCTGAATGCTCGAGTGGAAAGAGATCTGGACTGTAAGTCGAGACACCTGGGCCCGGCTCCTAGGACTCAGTACTGTCCCTTCCAGATCCGAGGTCTGAGAAAACCTACATGCCAACAAGCACAATAAGGGCTGGAGCTCTGCCCCTCCAACCTCTCTGTCGCATGCCCTGATGGAGGGCCTGTCCTTTTAGTCAAACCCTTATCAGGTCCCTGCTGATGGCCAGGGAGCCCTGCCCCTCCTCCAGCACAGACTCTTTGAGGCCATTTAAGCCTCCAACAGGAACTCAGTCAAAGCCGTTTGGATGCCAGTTCATCAATTATTGAACCAAGGAAAAGGAAAGGAATCTCTCCTCTTCTGAAGGGGCCAGTCAAATTCCCCAGGGCTTAGAACCTCTGTGCCTCAAACCAAAAGATCACCTCATCGCTGACCAAGCTAGAGAGAACCATCTGCCTCTAAATTCCGTCCTTGCAGCCAGGTCTTATCTGAATGGTGTTGGATGAAAAAGAGTTCTAACTTGTTCTGGGAATGGCC